CAACACAATGCAAAACCCTATCTCCTTTTCTATGAATACTCCTTCTAGTTTCAAAGTGGTTCCTCGTGTGGCTCTTCTACAGGGTTAATACAATGAACATTCCTCAGCATACAAAGAGCATGGAGCCCTAAGCTGGCGGCTCCCTGTGGTCGCAGCGCAAGACCCACAGGCACAAAAGTTTGCCACAACTGGATAGCGGCCTCTCTAGTGCTTTCCCCACGAGGGAAAAGGTTTTGGGGTCTGCTTTGACAGAAGAGGCTCCCTCACCTCTGCAGTGAGCTGAGGAACACGCCGTAGGAAGAGAATTGTAAATTCTTGAAAATGAAACATCCACTTGGTCTAGGTACGCCCATAGTTGAAAATCTACAGCTGTCATTGAGTGCACCGGGTTCCAGGCACGGCCCTGGAGCAGAGGGCAAAACTCTTCAAAACTCGGTCCTGGCTACAAGTAATGCAAAAGTTGGGTTCTGGAATCTGTGCTATAGAAAAGTACCGCGGCTTTGGAATAGACTGATGGCATTTGTTGGTTTGAGGATGATTTATTCGCTCCTGCTGTAAAATCTAAAATGATTGTCTTGGGAAGACAAAGGAACTACTTACTGACCCTGGTGTGATCCACTGCGGGCCTGCCCTGCTGCCCAGCATTCTGCCTTGAGGGCCTCTTAAGAAAGGTCACCAGTGCAAAGGCTAAGACTAGGATGCTATAGGGTATTGGGAAGGGTTTCCTGGAGAATGAGATCGGAACAGTGATGCCTAGAGTTGCTTTTCTGGATCCTCAAAGAGTCTCTGCTCAGCCTGGATCCTTGGTTCCTATGGACTCAATTCCCTAACAATTTCAAACGCCAAGTTGTCCTGGGTCCCCAAACTTCGAAGTTACTAGATTGTCTTTTTCTCTGAAAATTTTAAGTGGAGGTCACTAGGCTCTCAGCCCCTTGTGTGTAAAATAAGCAATTCACCGCCAACCTTTTGCATTAGGCTTAATGCTTTGGAGACTCCCTCGGTCCTGAATTTCATTCCCTGCTCCCATGAAGAGAGAGTTTTCCAGGCTACCCTTAAAAAGACTTGTTTTATCATCTCCATCTTGAATTAAGATCACTGAGGCCTGGGTTCAAATTTAGAGTACCAGCGCGGGGTATAATCCCAGGGTGGTGCTGAGAGACACTTCTGGCGCCATAACTATTGCGAAATGAGACGCTGCAGGGAGAGAGGGAATTGATATTATTTTGATGCTGATTCCAACTGGGGAGCGTCCTAGAGAATGTCCCCGCTCTCCTGGGTGTTCCTCTGGCATAGAGGAATTGGGGAGCTGGGCCAGGGAGAGTGGAGTTGGTAGAGCAGGAGGGTGCCTGCCTTTACACCTCTCCCTTTGTGACAAATCGATTTCCCGCGCGCCGCTGTTCCACATTTGCATCCACCAGCTCAGCTCGGGATCCAGCTGTGCCCTGGTGATCACTTAGCGCTGGCTGGTGAATATGTGCGTGCGCGAGCGCGTGTCTAATTGACTTTCCGTCTACCTTTTTATGACTACATGTGTTTCCAACAAAAGGTCTTATTAGGACAATCTGGTTTCACTAATTTAGAGGTTGGGAATGTGGAAGGCAGGCGTGTTTTCTTTTTTTTTTTTTTAAGAGTTTGCAGAAGTTGAAATTAAGAAGTTGACAGCGGGATGAACTGTTCTCCCAAGAGTAGGTCTGCTTGTTTTTAAGATTCCTTCCTCTCCCTCCCTACTTATCCCTACCCTGCAGTCACAGGCATCCATACACCAAACGTTCCTCTACTACATTAGCCATAGAGTCGATTTTCAACAGTGCTAAAGGAACCGAAAAGATTGAGAAACATAGACTGGGCTGGAAGAATCGATAATCAAAACAGGCCTTCCATAAAAGGGAAAATGGAGCATCAGCCCTGACCCGGAGGAGGGGTGGGAGAACAGGAATGTTGACTTAGGGTAGGAGAGGTCAATGAGGACTCTACTTTTTACAATACTTGACCAGGATGAAACACATTTTTTTTGCACAATTAAGAATCTACTGTTGAGTGCATCTGTGGAACCTACATTCTAATTTCTCCATATAGGTAATTAGAGAGGCCAGGGTTCCATATACCTGGCAAGTCAAAGCATCTCCTTGTTGTTCCCATCTCTTTGAGGAGTATTTTTCTTTCTCACTCTGAGCACCTGATGCCCTGTGAACTTCTCCATCCCTTATGACCCCTAAAGTCATTAGGACCAGATTTCTGCAGTAGCTCCCATCTATCCCAGACTCCCCATTTCTCTGTCTATAATCTAAGCATTACCGTCTCCTACAAACTGAAGAACCAATGCCACCCCACAGATAATGATTTCCAAACAGATCACAACTTCCTCTGCATTCTACCCAATGCCCAAGAATAAGGATGGGGTTCCACAGGGCTGCTTGTCTTACCAGACTAGAGGGTCCTGTCATCATACCCCCCCACCCCATGGAGAAGAGGAAGGTTCAGAAAACTTTGCTTCTAAAAGCAACAGTTTCTTAGTACAGCCCTGTCTGCCGGTCACATTCCAGTGAAGGCAAAATCAGCCTGGGCCTGTATGTCTATGTGTTATGTTTCCCTGAATTATTTCTCAGTCCTAGGTGCTGGTCATCTTACCCTGCAATGTGTTGACAAGTGCATCCTTTCCCCCAGTTAGCCTGAAGAGGCTAGGTTTCCTCTCTGGGTCCTTCCTCCATCCACCTCTCTACTCACTACAAGTATGAGATGAGGTTGAGTTCCATGCAGGCAGATTTATGGGGTCCTACCCTTTTCTGGGGGGAGTCCCCCAGCTCAGGTAGAAACCTTAAGCTTGCCTAGGAGATTCATATGCATAATGTGATCTTGGTGGTTCTAGTCTCATAAGAACCACTCCCCAGTTTTCACCATCTTCAGTACAGCCCCTCCAAATCAGCTGCACAATGGCTTCCTTAGCCTGGCTTTTCTACATACCACTATAGGAGCATGGCAGTCCTTAAGCTGCCTTCTTCTATGGTTTCCTCAAAGAAGAAAACAAGACAAGAAAAAGCAGTGCTTTCTGTCCTCTTCCAGCCCCACAGTTTCTGATGCTGACTGCCACTTTGAGGCTCTTGCTTTCTGAGGCCAGCCTTGGTCCCGCTTTCCCTGTGCTCCAGCCTTCTCTTGGAGCAAAGCAATACTATCTCCTCTCTCCTGCCCACGGTGGTCTTCTTTAGAGCTTGTTTTCTGTTGGGGTGGTGTGTATGTGTGGTGGTGTGAGGTTCCAACATTTAGTTCTTCCAACAGTGATAACTGTGGGGTCAATATTAAATCGTATGGAAGCTTCCCCGACAGTCACAGAGCAGCTGCAGCTGGGACTCCAGGTACGGCCTTCCTGTCTTTGTTTTCATATTTTCCCTAGTGAAAGGTTTTTAGAATTTCATAGTCCTTTTTGCAAGAGCTTCATATACTCCATCCTTGAGATGCATGAGTATATACCAGAATCAGCTTCCCCAAAAGACTACACAGAATGACTAGGCTCCAAGCCTAGTCCATACCCAGGGTTTGGGGATACAGATTCTTCCTGGATGTGGTTTGAACTAATTTCTGTAATTCGAATGTCTACTTCAAACCTCTTTATCTAGCTCTTGTGGCAGTCAGTGGGCTCAATCCAGAGCTGGCTGTACCCCAGGTTACTGACATCTGAACTAGTTCAATCCTAGCAGACCGAAGAATTTAAGGCTGTAGCTAGGGGCCAGTGCCTTGACTAGATAGGGCTCTCCAGTGACCTGCCTGCTTCAGAGAGCCTGGCACCCTACCACTGTTCCCAGGTGTCATTTCCAGCTGTTTCTGACATAGGTTTGCTCTGAATGTCTTTTTAAAATTATTATTTGGAAGTCTAAGATAGGGGGGAGGGTCCTGTGAGAATCATAGAATGTCTGAGAGCCTCTGAACTACAAAGATCGACCAGCATACAAAGATAAGGAAGGAGGGCATTTTAGAACTTTCTGCCTGCTCCAAACTCCTGAACCTCCCAGAGCGAAGGGAGTATCTGTGTGCATCTGACTAGAGGCCACTTAGGATGAACCAGATGGCAAGCGTGTTACATGCTTAGGGACCATGGCATATGCTGGCAGTAAGGGCGAAGTTAATAACTCCGAAATGAACATTTCGTGGGAAGGAGGTCGACAGTGAGCGAGGGTGGGTACAGCAGCTTGTACTTAAATGTGTCTGCAGGTCTAGGGGCCAGCAAAGCCCCTGTGTGCTTCACGAGCACTTGGGCCTCAACCAGGATCCCAGGTGCACTTAAGGTGCTAGATCAAGCTGGGCAGAGTTTTGGATTTTGCACCTAAAGAACATTCTAGCTTCATCAAGGTTTGCCCTAACGGATGGGCTTTTAGCTCAATCTCAAAACCGATTCTCAGGTAGAAGTGACAGCAGAGGTCAGAGAGCAAGCCGGGGCATCTAGAGCTGCCCACAGTCTTCCCAGGCCTGGGTCACAGGCACACTGGGGTGTACAACCTGAGTGGCTTCTGCCAGATTCCCTTGAGCACAGAGCTTTCCCCTCAACCCCGCAGAAGAAGCACTCCCAGGCCCATCCGACTGACTTCTTTGTCCGCTGTTTTCTCTAACAGGGGTGGCTATGCAGTCTGCGCTCTGGCCAGACTGCTCCTACCCAAGCGCGGATGCTCCGCCTGCGGGATTTCTGGCCGCTGCTCTCACCCGAAACCGAGATGCAGCCGAGGCTGCTGGAGACAGTCCTGGCCGAAGATCCCTGCCTGGGATCGCCTGGCCTCCCAGCTTCCCTGGGCCTCCTGATCTGTCTCCAGCCTCAACTGGGCTTACACCCTTGGAGGATTCCTCTTTTTCTCACCCTGTCTTGTCTTTCTGCGACCTGCGACCAGCACTTTTCCCAGGACTTCCTCATCCCCACCTCTTCCAGAAACCTAAGCCTTAGATAGAACACGCTCGCAGCCACCATTCCCGGGTCTCCACCCGCTGTCCCCTTCCCGGAGCTCGCGCCCCTCACTCACTGTCCTGCTGAGGGGTGTCGCTGCCACTGGTCAGTCCTGGTGACTCCAGCAGGCTCCGGCCCGCCTCTCCCACACTTTCGTCCGCCTGTGCCGCCACCATGTCCCCGGCCTCCTCCAGGTCTAGCAGGTGACTGACGGAGAAGTTCTTTTTCGCCTGCAGGGTGTCGAGGTTGCCCGGGCTGTCCAAGCGGCCGCCCAGCGCCGGTTGCCGCTCCAGAACGTGCCCGTAGCTGGAGGTCATGGTCTCCCCTCCAATCCCACCCACCCCCCTCTTCCCGCTCGAATCAACACCAAACGCTGTGGGCACGAGGGGGGAGAGGAGCCGAGTGGGGAAGAAAGAGGGGGGAGTGGGGAGAGAGAGAGAGAGAGAGAGAGAGAGAGAGAGAGAGAGAGAGAGAGAGAGAGAGAGAGAGAGAGAGAGAGAGAGAGAGAGAGAGAGAGAGAGAGAGAGAGACCCCTTTCTGAAGGGCAGAACTTTTCGGCACCAGTAACTTTGCCACAGCCTCGGTTGCTTTCCTGAAGCCAAGTCTGGCTGGGTCCAAAGAGACAATCCACACCGAAAAGTTTTCTTTTTTTTTTTTAAGTTACCCTATGCTTAAATCAGGAAGAAAAAAAAAATCCTTTCGAACTCTCAAGAAGCGTCCACACGCAGACACTAAAAATAATAATAAGGGGGAGAGAGGAAAGGGGAGGCCAGCAGGGCGGGCGGGGGAGTTAGGCAAACAGAAGAGAGAAGAAGGGGTGGAGAGAAGAATCAAAGTGGGTTAAAGAAAAAGAAGAAGAAGAAGGTTTTTAAAAAAAAGTTATTCCCGGCAAGAGTTCAAGCACCAACAGAAGGAGGCTTGTTCCAGCTTTAAAATTTCTTCAAGAAAGCCGTTCCCCTCTCGGCACTCCTGTGGATTCTCGGGAGTGACTAGAATTTCAGGAGAGTGATGTCTTGCAGATGTATTAGAGGGCAGGATTCTCACTTTACTTTTCGTAAGGAGAAAAAAAAAGAAATAAAGAAGCAGGGCTTCAAGAGTCAGTAGAGGGCGGCGGGTCCCCCTTCCCTTCTCTCTCTCCCCTCTGCGTTGCTCCTCTCCCCTTCTCAGTCGGATCAAGAAACTCTCTGGCACTTCAAAAGGCACAGACTGGCATGGAGAGGAGGCTTTGTAGGGAATACAAGAAAATTGGAGACCCCTGGGAGGGCAGATCTCCACTTAATAGGAGCCTGTAATTACGTGGCAAAGCCTTTGTGCGGCGCCTGACGTTTTACAGACCCCCTTTCTCCATCACAAGCTCCTTCCTCCCTTCCCTCGGACCGAAAAAAACAGCCTGATTAAGAAAACCCCCTTTGCGAGAAAGAGAGAGGGAGGGAGCCAGAGAGGGAGGGAGGGAGGAGGGCAAGAGAGGGAGGGAAGCAGAGAGAGCCCCTTTGGATTTTTAAAATAAAGGTCTAATTATCATTCCCTTGCAGTAGTATCACGGAGAGAAAGGAGCGGAGACCCAGTCACTTTAAACGGGCTGATTATTTTGTTTGGGTATTAACTCCTCCGGATTTGTTTGAGATCCTGTTAGACAATCTCATTTGCAAGCTTTGATAACAGCTGAGGGCAAGCTTGTTGGGGGGGGAGAGGAAGAATGCACATCTATAACAATCAAATCTTCTTCTTCTGCCCCGCCCCCGGCAACTTTTCCTGCAGATTTGTTTTGGCGAAGACCGCAGGGAGAGACTGAGACAGAAAAGCAAAAGAGCAAGCCCATTAAAGCTCGTTTGGCTCTGTAGAGACAGCCTATTAAATAATGTAATAAAATAACAAGAGCGATAATAACTGGAGGCGCTCTACGTTCTAAAGGCAGCTTGGAGAGATCCAGAAGTCTTCAGCTTCGAATGGATTCGAAACTTTCGCTGCCACCAGAAATCTCCAGGCTTCGGACAGTAGAAAACTTACATACTTATTAAACAGGAGGGAAACCCATGCTGGCCGTTCCCCTACTCTTACAACGGGTGCAGTTTCTTAGGTGTGGCCGAGAGTCGCTTTCCCAAGCGAGGATGGTTAGCACAGAGGCCGTCCAAATTCGGAGCAGACAAGAGTACCCCTGCTGAGAGAGCTAGGGGGAACTGGGGGAGCAGGGGAAAGGCTCTGTGCTAATCTGTGTCCAGCCGCGTGCGGTCGGTCCTGGCAGACACTGAGTCCGAGGACGCCTGGGTCGAAGTCTATGGACCACGCTTGACAGAGGACAGAGAAGTGCTGGCGGTGTTTTCATGACCTGTTGGAATCTGGTAACAGCTTTAATAGTCTCATTAGAAATGAGTTGCTATATGACCAGTAAGTAAAATAGTAAGTGCTTATTGGTGGGATTTTATGTTCTTTAAATACATGCATACATACGTTTCCCCTCATTCCCTTGATTGCTAGATTTTCCCTTCCTGTAGCTATGAGGTTGAATTGAAAAGGAGGAAGGGTCCGAGTGTGTGTAAATGGTTTCTGAGCTCCAAAGGGCCATAGTTAGCCCAGAACTTCCAGCCCTGATCTGGGAAAAGAACATTTGATGCCATCAAAGGGTTGTAGATTGAAACCAGATGTGCGCGCCTCGGTTCTTTCCATGCATTTAATTAAGGAGCCAGGATGGAGGAGACTTTTTCATCATTAGTCCACCCGCTGCCCCTCCTTTTTCCACCCCCTCGCCTCCCTCCAGCCACTCGTGCCCCCTGTCCTGCAGCCCTCCAGCCCCAAGCGCACTATGGTCGCTCAAGCTCCGCAGCCCAGGCTCTGAGAAACGAATATTGTCTGCCAGCGCCTGAGCCGGGAAAGCTCGTTAGTTCTTGCGCTGGGAACTTGCGCGTGGGTGGGCTGAGCAGAGTGTGAGTATGTATCCCTGGGTGTCTTTGGAGATGCTAACAGTGAGGCCTCCAAAGCCCAAGCCGTTTGTGTCGTTCCCTGGAGTGGAAGCCACTTAATTAGGCAGGTTAAAGTGACAGGTTTCCACCACCATCTCCGGGGCTCTCTACTCTCTTAGGTGAAAGGAGCCACCCTTTCTTTCTTCCCTAAGGCCAGCACAGGTCCCCACAACACCAGTCTCCCCCAAAATCACCCCAGAACTGGAGCCTTGCACTCTTCAACTTATATAGTTGGATTTCTTTTTCTTTCAGACTGGAGAATTGCCATTTGTGACTAAACCCTGAGTAAAAAGTTCTAGTGTCCCAAGACAGTTCCTCCAGGTAGAAGGACATCGCCTCAGAGAAGTAGCCTTGTTTCTGTGTACAGCCAGTATGGTTGATGTCCTCGGGATGTTGACAAGGAAGAGAGATCACAGACCATCCCCAGAAGTACCATCACATGCTTTCCTCCTTCTCTCTCAAGGCAGGAGACAGGTTTTGAAAATCGCCCTGGTGTTACCCATGTACACATCAACCACTAGCAGCAGTATCAGCTAGGGTACTAATGGTTTCTACAGGAACTGTGGATACATACCTAAATATTTGTGTGCCAAATTTGTTAATAAAGTAACAAATATAGCACCTAGCATATAGCAAATTCAAATCTGTGATAGTATCCTAAAGTTCAAATGCAAATTCTGCTTGCTGCCCTCCCCCATTGCTTCCACTTCTACTGTAGAATCCATAAGCAAGGAAAGTCACACTAGAAGGGTGTCCTTTGAAATTTGTGTGCACAGAGTGTACTCAGCTCCTCTAAACTGGAACTCAGGAGCCTGAGTCCCAGAGAAAGTTGCATCCTGTAGTGCCTGGGGAGGGCAAGGCAGGCAGCTGGGCTACCTCCCAACTGAGTTTAGAGTCCTTAGAGGCTATGCTAGCTCAAAAGGCTCCTGGAACCCTGCACACTTTCTAGAAAGCCATCTAGACTTCAGCTGCATACTTTTAAGCCCCTTTATCTGGTCAGGGAGCTTAGAATGTGACCCCTGCATTCAGCGGGAAGGTTGGCTGCTCTGGGAGAATCCCCTCTGAGGCAAACCCTCTGGGAAACCTGCAGAACTGTCTCCCATTCCACTCCAGACGTTTTCAAGAGCTTGTGACTCTCTCTCTCTCTCTCTCTCTCTCTCTCTCTCTCTCTCTCTCTCTCTCTCTCTCTCTCTCTCATTAGCAATTACAATCGGATTGGATCTACATCCTGATTGTGTTTACATATGGCATTTGTGATTTGTTGAGATTCTGGATTGCAATTAAAAACTGTGGAATAGCCCTAGGGGGAAATTCAAGATGTAGCAAACAGCATTTACATCAGAGCCTGTGTTTGCACAGGAGAAGGTGTTCCCAGATCCCAAATGGAAACAGCACTGTTACTGCTCTACCAAGACACTCATCTCAGGTCTAGGGAGGTTTTTCCCTCCTATCTCCTCTATGTCCAGGCTCTAGGATGGCTTATTGGCTGCAGGGGTGGAGCAAGGAGAAAAATGTTGAACCAAGTTCTCTGGGCTCAGGTTGCAATTACCAGGAGAGCCAAGAACTTTTAGAATTCCAGAAAAGAATAACCATCTGGCAGAAATATGGCAGGAGGGGCTATTTAGGGAAGCTATGGCTACCAGCATGCAGTCATCTCCCAGGCAGGATACTAGACTGGCCTGAGCGTTTAGAAGGTCCTAGAGGAAAGTGGCCTGGTTTTGCCCTTGTCATTCTTTAATCACTATTTTGTTTTCCCAAGTGACTTTCTTGTGGGAAGGTTGGAGCATGTGTAGGCTTTCCCTTGCCTTTAGCTTTGACTCCTATCCATCAATCATTATTTATTAAAATCTGTAACTTTGTTTGATGTAACTTACAGAGCTCTCTTCCTCATAATCCACCCAGCACCTGACAATAGCTTTCTACCCATTCTTTCTGGTCCAGCCCCTTTAAAGAACTCCTGTTTGCAGATTCCTCCTCTCCAACCTCAGTGGGTACAAAGCAGGAGCTAGGGAAGAGAGTTGCCAAGAGACTAGACCAAGGTAAGAAGGACTTTTGGTTGACAGCCATGTAGTCTTGGGTGGTCCTGCGTAGGCTTGGTAGTGGTTATTGCCCAGCATTTCCCTGGCATTAGAAGCCAGCACAACATTGCTTCATCTGGCTAGCAGTATGTCTCCCACCCTAAGTAGCTCCCCATCTGAGCTAGAAGCCAGGAGTTGTGCTCTCTGGCATCTTAATTTGCTGACAAGATAATCACACATGACAAGTCACAGGTTCCATGACGCATAAAGAACACAGTATTATTCTCATGCAAACAACATGCCAGGGATGGAACTGCTTCTCTGATCATGACTGACAACCTGGTGCATATTCATTACTAGAGAAATAGGGGTGGGGGGAAGAGCTAGCTGGGTGCCTATATTTTAAGATTTCTATGGAACTTTTATGCCAGACTCTATTGTGCTCTCCCAATTCTAGTTCCTGTGACTCTAAGTGGCATATTAGGACAATTCCTCTTTCTAGTTCCTGTAACTCTAAGTGGCATATTAAGACAATTCCTTCTGTCTTCTTGAGCGCATGTTCCCTATTTACCCCCCAACTCTGTCCAATATTCCTATTGAAAGATTTTCAAACTTTGCAGTAATTAAAGGAAGTAAGACTAAAGACACACTTTGCTGGTGGTGAATTGATTGACCCATTCTACTATAGGATGTGAGGTCAGTATATTCAGGGACCTAGTTTTACTGTATCTGTTTCTCACACCATCAACTAGCTAAACATACTACAGGGGTAGTTTTAGTCAAAGGTATCTGCATTCTGGGAATACAAGTGAGCATTCCTCAGGTCTTAGGCTACTAGAAGCCTCTGCTGTAACTGACAATACAGAGTCACTGTATTTGGGACTTCTTCCTAGTTCTCTACCCATGTCTCTGGCTGCTTCTCTTGGTCTTCTAGAGAATTTCTCTCCTTCTTAAATGCTGATATGTTCCTGAGCTATGTCTATTGTTTTTACTGTCCTTCACAATAAACAGGTTGTTCTTAGATTTCACAGGTTTGTTTTTAAAGTAGAACTCCATGGGATAGCCCAGGCTGGCCTCACACTAGGACTCTTTTTCACTCAGCCTCCTGGGTTTTTTAATACAAAGGTGTGCCAGGATGGAACTCAAAAGTGGATAAATTAGGTTGACTAGGCTAATAAGCCTTCTACCACATTTCTTTAAACATTTAATGACCATGTGTGCAACCCATTAGGTGCAATGCTTGTCATATAGTAAGTAAGCATTGAAAATAAAAAGAAAGCCTTCTCCCGAATGATCACGCATGTTCATTGAGGAAAGTGAAATTGAGCATCCTCAAACTTTGGCTCACCATCTTCTCCCCATATGAACCATTTTCCCCCAGTAGAAAATGAGTTATTTCAGCTTCCTCTGTCCCAGATAGCACCCGCAGCTTCTCCGAGTAATCAGTAGTATCTACCAATTTTAGGTTTGGGGAGGTGATGGCTCAATGGTTACGAGTACTTGATGTTCCCTTGGACCAGACAATAAAGGGGATGAGAAAGAAATCAGAGAAGCATCACCCTTTACAACAGCCACAAACACCATAAAATATCTTGGGGTAACTCTAACCAAGCAAGTGAAAGACATGTATAACAAGAACTTTGAGTCCTTAAAAAAAGAACTTAAAGAAGATACCAGAAAATGGAAA